TCATATCAGGAGAGCATAATTAAAGACACGTCTGGTTCACATGGAGGATTTCTACATATTGATCTATCAATCACAGCCTGGTTCTGTCTCACTGCAGCCTGTTACATTTGTTAAAAAAAAAAAAAAACCTCAACAACACTGAGCTTCCAACAGCTTTGGGCAAATGCAAATCAAAGCTGTTGGCAGAGAACGTGCATTTGGAACATCTGGCTCCAGTGCTGACCTGGTGAACACTGGGTTCTTTCTTGGCGAGATGCTGGGCTAATCCACATTTCCAAGGTCCCTTTCCTGAGGACTGTTCCTGCTCCAGCTTCTCTGGACAGTAGGAAACTTCTTGGTAACTTGACTCCACTTCTTCCTGGCTGTATGTCCTGCAGTTTGGAAAATACTATCTTAGGAAAACTTCCAAACATTCTTTTTAGACCAGAACGTGTGTATTGACTGTGTATTAGAGCAATGATAAGTGAACAAATGTTGGAGCTGTTGGATATACAGTGGCTGTCACTCTGCCCATGTGTTAAAATATGAATCAGATTCATTTTCAAAAATTAATTAATAATAGGATTAATGTATTAATTTCCCCGACCCTTTTTGAATTATTGTAGGATAGGATATTAAGGTACAGGGAATTCCAGGATCTGCTCCATGCTGGAATCACCACACAAGGGAGGGCAGACTTTGTCTATCTATCTCAAATTTGGAGATAGTTGACAGTAAATTTGAGTTGATTGTCAGTTTTTCTAACACTATGACGTGTAGATGTGGTAGTAATACCCATGTGAGGATTGGAACGACAGAAATCACTTTTCTCCTTACTTCTAAAGCTCAGTCTGAACCTGAGAATGTCGCTGCCATTCATCACCTGAGGAACTTGGTATCTTGTGCAGTAGCCACAGAGAATACATTTGTAAAATAATGCGATGCTTGCCTGATATTGAATTGGAATTTTAGGCACAGGTTTAGGAAAATGTTGCTAAATCCAGACTTTAAATGACCTCAGAAAAGTGATTTTGTTGTCGCCACATGCACAGTTTATTGGCTCGAGCTCTTGATATTATTTACTAACTGAAGCAAATTGCTGTGTTCTTTGCAATAAATTACTTCTCTTGCTCCATTCGCTGTCCCAGGGAGCAGCAGAGACTTAGAAATAATTCAGGCATTGATACAATATCACAAAAAGGTTTTGTAGAACATTACTCATAGATGACACCAATAACCGCACAGAGATGCTGCCATAATGGGCAGATGGGTCTGAATCCTCTGTACAGCTTATCAATGACATTGCCAAGGTAATTGCGCTTTGTGGGAATATTCACTGGCTGTGTTCAATATTTACTGTGGTGGGTGGATCCAAGGGCACCCTACACTCTGGAACCAGCAGCAGAGGAGGTTCTGTCGGCAGTCTCTCTCTCCTGTCCCAGATACACTTTAGTCAGAGGGATCGGTATATTTGGTAGGAATTTAAAATGTCTTTTACAGACAGCTGCTCTTCCAGTGACACTAAAGAATATTCGTAGGTGGCCTGCCAACATACTGCATTTCAAGAAATGTACAGGGTGTTTTGTTGTACTACTGCAATAATAAATGCAGTAGTACAACGAGACAGCCAATGAAAAGAGTTCATACAAATACAGAGAGTTCTCGTATTATGTCGAAGTTCAGTTACTACAACTGGCCGGTTCAGGAGCAGATAGATGGAGCGTTCGTGTGAACTAAGATAAATGACATGTAAAAGTCCAGCATAAAGGCTAAAATGCTAAAAGGCAGACGTAGAATGATAATATAAATTAATTTAGAAAGGTTTTACGGGCCGGATTAAAAAGCTAAATGGGCCACATCCGGCCCTCAAGCCTTAGTTTGCCCATGCCTGATCTAGGACATAAAAACATCAGAAGAGTGACTTACACTTGAAGAGCAAAAAGTTCCCAAAAAACGACACAAATGAAAGAAAGCGAACGTAGTACAATCCTATGTATGGCGTTCAACTGACACATGTAAACAAAGCTGTCTTCCACGTGACCACGTATTCATCCACTCTGCTCTGCCTCAAGTTGGTGTTCAAGCTTAGTTGATGACGTTACCACTGAGTGGAGTTGAGTGACACAGTATCTGGGTTCTGACTTACAGCTAAAGTTATGTGATAGATACAAATACAAAGTTGAGTAGATGCACAGCTCTAATACATACAATAAAATATATATGCATATATTTATACATACACACTATACCTGTCTTGGTGATCAGTGATTGATGGGCCACCATTGGCTCCCCCCACAGGAGGTGTCACTGCAGTGGTGTCCCTCACTCCAGTTGTGTTTTTCACTGTGATGAGACCTAAATAAAACACATTCAAGTGTCATCTGTATTCAACCTGCAGCAGATTCTACTTAACTGCTGTGACACTCGTGGTTAAAGCTGCCCATAAACTGCTTTTATTTTCCCAGTAATATCACCTTAATCTGTCTTCAGTTTTTGTTGTAAAAGCTGTCTCCGAGTCGCAGCATTAAATTTTTATGATCGTATTACAGAGATACAGTATTCCATAACACTGAGGTCATTGCAGGGATTTGACCGAGCAGCATTGGTACCTTCAGCACGTCAGGCATTAGGCTATGTTTCGGTCACTGGTCAGCCCTCCCTGTGAAATCCTTTAGGGAGCTGAAGTTAAAGCCTTATTTTATAGCAGCGTCTTGGATGTGTTTTCGATGAATGCCATCTCTCTGGGAACATAAAATGTTTACCCGGGGCAAAACCCACGTTTAAATCCAATTTTTCAACAAACTGACTGAACCTGAGATCCATTGTAAGAGAAAAAAAAGGAGCAGGGATTCAAGTCACAGCTTGAGATTTGAGTGGTACTTTTACAAAAAACAGTTTCATTTAAAGTGCTAAGGTCAGACATTTGACATCCACTGCTCTTACTGTCAGTCAACGTTAGCCTAAAGCTATGATTTCACTTCGGTCTAATGCCAATAACGAAGCTGTAATTGAGTTTGGCCCCATATTTGAGCACTGATGTTTAAGCTAATGTTAGCTTTTACTCTTTACTTTTTTCCATTCCTGGCTAGGTTACAAATATCAACTGTGTTCACCCATTTACACTAACTTTTGTTTTATCCTTTAACTTTAGTTGGACCAGAATTTTGGCTGTTTGTATTTTTTAATAGTGTAGTCAGTTGTGTTCTTCTACTAGTTGTTTTGTTGTTGTACAGATATTACTAACCCAACCAAAGTTCTGCTTTTTTTAGGTAAAAACTGTATACAGTTTTTGCAGATTCAAGTATGTGTCAATGTCACATTTGAACATTTGGTTCACAAAAGCATTTGATTCAAAGTGCTGAAGGTCAAACCTGAAGTTACTACTGGGATTTCCACTGCTCTCATGGTTTGCCTGACTTTCAGCCAAAACTCTTGTTACAGAGCAGCGTGGTGCTGCAGGCCATCGCTAAAATAGAAATGTAAAATCCTGAATCATTGTGTCAGACCCGGAGCCTGTGCATGTGTCAGCTGAGCTCATTATTGCATCTGTGGCTGCAGGACGTCCCAACAGTGGGGCTTTAGGCTCAGCTTTCATATCATCCTATTTCAGGAAATTCATTTAGGCTACAGCGTGTCTTAGCATTAACTCTATGGAAAAATATGGGTTCTTAACATGTTAAGAGTACTAGTTGTTAGTCTGACGGGAAAGAAATGATTGGGTAAATTTGAGCTTAGCTTTTTCCACCGTGTTTGAGCTATGTCTGTGCTGACCATTAGTTAACTGTGATGACACAGACGTTGTCATTTGTATGGTGCATTGTTCACTTATTTATGTTTTTATATTTTTATTTTTTATTTTATTTATTATGTTATTCATAATAATAATCTATGAATATTATCAATATAATAATAATAATAATAATAATAATAATAATAATAATAATAATAATAATAATATTCCATCATAATACACCAGATGTTTTATTTGTCTCTCACTCACTGTGTGTCTGCAGTGGAGTTTTTGCTCCTCTGTAGTCTTAGACCTTTCATCCCGATCGTCTTCTGTTTTATTTTTTCTCCTCACCATCCATCTTTACTCAGTGGTGAGTTTGTGGGGAGCTCGTCTTCTGCTCCGATCATTAAAAGACTGCTCTGAGTTTGGCTTGGGGAAGAAACTGCTAAAAATAAGGGGTTTGGATGACATTGATGATCTGTGCTAATGACACGTTAGCATCAGCTCCACACAGCAGCAGCAGATTGAGCAGCAACTCTATTAGTCGTCGCAGACCGGAGCCGTGTCTGGCAGTACCAGAGGCTCTGTATTCTGTGGATGGCATAACCGGAAAATTGATGCAGGAATTATAACTGAGTGGAGGTTTTTTCTGTAGGGAGAGATGTCTTAAATCAAACTAAATAAACCCAAAACTTAAACAGAATACATTTCCAGGGGGAAATTCCAGAAAGGAGGTTGATAAAACTCTGAGTTGAGTTACTCTGAGATGGGAAACAGTGAGTATTCAGTTCTCAAACAGACGATCTGAATTAGTTCAGTCAACTCTGAGTATGTTCACCTTGAGTTACACGCGTGCACAACCACTGTGAAAAGCCATCGTCAATGGAGCTGCGTGAGTGAGAAACCATGACAACGGGAGAAAAAGAAAAAAACAGATCCAACTATGTCGTGACCAAAAAAAATACTGGAATACACATTAGCTTATCTTAGCCCATAAAATCAGTTTGGTATTTTTCATGAATAGGTTATTATGTATTAATGTTATTTATTTGAACTGTTAACACAGCAGATGTCACATATATAAACATCTAGAATGCAGTTGACTTGCAGCATGTATTTTTATTTTGAAGTTGTCATCTCTTGGCTGTCTTTCTTGTGCCTGGTGATATTTAGTACCATCACCTTGTCTTTTCCTTCACTCGAGAACATACAGAATTCTGCAGACATATTCATGTTGCTGCAAAGAAAAAAAAATTGCTGTAACTGTTTTATTGACACGTTAGCAGCAGACCATGTTAGCGTCCATCAGAACTGGGCCCCCGTTTTCCTGCTAATGGGGGCCATTCTAAAATTGATGTGGTCATTTTTCCTCTTTTTAAATGTCATCTCTCAGTATAATGTGCCTCATTATAACTCTCCAAATTTCAGAGAGGAGAAAGTAAAGGTAATGGCTATTCATGAAGAAGTCATTCATTAGCTTTCTCTCTTCTTTTTTTTTTTCCTTTCTCTCTCATTCCAGGCTTTTGTCAGTGCCAAGCATGAAGAGGACAAAGTCATCGTGTTCGAAAGAGCAAACGTACTCTTTATCTTCAACTTTCACCCCAGCCAGAGTTTCCAGGACTACAGGGTGGCTGTGGAGGCTCCAGGGAGGTATCCTTTTAGCCCGCTGTCCTGTCACCACGCTCGTTTCCTTTAAATCTTTAGACAATGGCTTTCCGCTGTCACGCAACAGTGCACACTGGCAACAGCCCCGGCAGAGTAATGATGCCTTTGTAAGTTACTTTTTTGTACAATAACATGATTAATCGCTCTGAGCTTGACAGCGCCACTAACTGAGCAAGATTTCAACCTCGGCAGTAACTGTCGAAAATGTGTAAAGAAAGGAGACAGAAAATGGAATGATGGCTGGTGTTTTTGTGTTGAGTTCAAGTACATCAGGGTTTCCACTGTATCCCTGAGCGACGGTGGAATCTTGATGCTGACGTACAAAATCAAATAAACGTCCTGTTTTTGTCTAACGGAACTAGAGTCATAAATGGTGGGGATTACTGATAGTTATTTAGTTATTTAAGTCTCAGTGTTTAATTAATCTTTTGTTTAATCTCAGTGTTTTTGCTCATTTCAATTAATCTGTTGTAAACCAGTGATCTTCAAATGGCGGCCCGTGGGTCATATCCTGCCCGCCGAACCATCCAATCCAGCCACGACTGGATTCCAAAACCCCTTTATTAAAGCAACTGATAAAAAAAAACAACAACTTAAATTACAAATTCCCACCATTTTTGAATCTATTTGATCCTTTTTTAGGCCAGTTTTGTGTCTCTAAGGAGCCTATCCATGTAATTTATTAAGCTGTATTCAATTTTATATCTTAGTCCAAGTCAAGACGTATTGGCACTAGGTTGTTGATAGTTTTCTTATTTTATCTCTAGAATTCAATTTGATATTATTTTAATTGACGTACATTTTACTTTAAATGAGACTTTTTTGACTTTTTCTTAATGAATCTAATATATATCGTAAATATAATTTATAGGTGATGTTAAACATTTGACTTTTACTACCTTTTTGCTACAACTTACGTAGTATCTCTACTGCAGTTTTTGCAAACGTTAACCGTATTTTTCACTGATTCATTCTAGGGTGTTATTCAGACATCCACATATTTGAAGATTGTGTTGCCCCCAGGTCTTTGCTAATACCCATCCAGGGTCAGAAAGGAGCAGATTACATTCTCTGGGATGCTTATGCTCGCATGATATCATTTGGGTACTCTCTGTTGAAAGGAAAATAAGTGGTTTGTTGATAGGGCTGTTGTTTTGCGATTACTGAGGAATAATAGCAGAAGCCAGTGATTCAGAAAGTGCTCTCTTTAGCAGTAACCACAGTCTGTCTTCTCCGTAAGCAGCTCAGCAAAATTTAATGAGTCCCACAGTTGTGATTACAGCGAGCTTAATGATGGTGGCTGTGAAGGGGCAACAACAATGTGACACATTTGTATTTATTATAACGGACATGGCTGTCGTCTGGGGCCCACTGTCGCTCACCCCGAGTGTCTCCCAAAAGGCAAACGAAGCTGTGTTGCTTCTTCAGCTCCTGCTAAAATAATGTGATGGTTAGTTTAAAAAAAAAACACACAAGCCGATCGCTTCAGCTTTCTCGGCACGGCGGCCAGGCACACGACATCATCAATTCAGTCTTAAATTGTTATTTTTCAGCTGACTGACAGTGAGGCTGTTAAAGAGCTGTTGTTCCTTCATTTTCTTTTCGGTTACATTTAACTGATTTGTCGCTGCTTCATCGAAATCGTTTCAAAAGAATTTAACCAATTCAGAGCTTACTGATATAATGCTCATGTTAGAAGCAAAACTGTTTTATTATTAAATTGTAAGTTATCGCACAGATGAGGTTTCACACGAACCATCAGACGATGATTAGATGATTTCATCATGTCGAATAGAAATGTATCTCTGTTAATGTTGGTCCTTATTTGACATTTTTTGAAATTTAGCAGAATACTAATACTTACAGTATTAGTATTCAATTTCTAATTACAGGGCTCTCCTCAACCAGAATTCCGTTTTTACGGTGTGACGTAACTCATTTTTGCTGTGCTCTCCTCAACCAGAATTCCGTTTTTATGGTGTGACGTAATTCAATTTTTGCTGTAACAACGGTTCCGGGTTCCATAAGAACCTGTGTCACACTAACACTAACATCATAATCCAGGACATAAAAAAGTGTCGACTTACGCCTGGGAGCCATAAACAAAGGGCAAAAAGTTCCAAAGGGCCTTCTTTCAGATATTCCAGCCTCATGACCACGTATTCTTCCGCTCTGCTCGACCAACTAGTTCCTCTACAAACAAGTTATTGAGGATAATGGAACAAGACGTTCTTAATAAATTTATGGGAGGCGGTGACGTAACCACAAAACGCCGCCGGTCGAGGACACAGTAAACACACAAAAAAAAAGGTACATTCTGCCCTTTTTTTCACTGTCTAAATATTTAGCTTCTTAACAGTCCGTGGTGTCTGGCGTTTGTCATTTGTCAATGAGTGAGCTCACATTCTTTCATGAGCTCACACAGTCTTTGTTCCCTTTTCACACAGAGATTTCTAGTATTTTTTATCATAATATGACTCTACACAGACACAGGCTTGAAAAAATCTTTTGTTTTCAAACTGGCAGATGGACCTCTCGGCTAGTTTAGCAGATAACAGAGAATTCAGACATGGATCTGGATCAGAAAGGCTGAAGACCAGGACTGGAATTACTGTTAGAGAGCAGATGCACCGGTGTTACCTGGGTCCCCTTAACAGTGTGCTGGAATTGAATACATTTTCCTTGTCGTGGCTGGGAGCGAGACCAACTCCAGCACTGTGGAGAGGAACTGAGGAGCAACAGAGTAAAATGCTGTGGGAGTCTGGGAGACGAGAGCATTCATACTGCGTTTGTACAAATGGGAGGCGTCTTTGTTAGAGACATGTTAACATGTGAAACTGGGGAATCGAACCCTCTACAGTTGTTTAAAATATTTTTTAAAATTTGAATAATAACAGCACAAACCTGTGTCAGGTTTAAATGAAAAACACCACCAATTGGAATATCACATGTTAACTTAAAGACCCCTGCTGTGATGTGTATAAAACCATCAACCTGGAGTGTTGCCGGGGTGAATCCTTGGGCCAGCAGCACTAATGACGTCACTGCACAGTGTCTCTAATTCCATTTTTGAGGCTTCATATTCATTGAGTCGGAGGAACATCTTTTTTGCTCACTGTGCTGCTGCTTTTGATATCAGAGAGGAGGCCTCAGACACCGGGTGGGTTGAGAGGAAATGCAAATAGATGTGAGGGGCAGAGCTGTGGCTGTCATTACACAGAGAAGCCGTAAACACATGAAGGCAAACGCGCCGCGTGCGAGAAGGTAAATGCGCCGTGCGTACGAAGAGACGCCGATCCTCCGATGGGAATGTGTGCAGAGGATCCAATTAGGGAGGAAGACGGATGAAAGTGCCACTCAGAGGCAGAGGAGGTAAACAAGACGAGCTGAATGAGTCCAAAAGTGCTTTTTCATTACACTCTCCTGTCATAGGCTTAAACTTTCCTCTGCCTGTCAGGGTCAGGGCTGTCACAGGTGTCCCACACCACCTCTGCATGTGCAAACACCAGCTGCGTCCTGCCGCCGTGTCTCTGCCACTGAAAATAGACTCCATGTAGGCTTTAGTCCTCACACCTGGAATAGTACATTTGACGTCTGACGTCCCTGCAGGTCTGAGTCCTGCTTTAGATACTTTGGCGTATTCACAACCAGACAATGATCACACACAGCAGAACGGAAAGGCAAAAATGTGTTCTGCCAAATGATAACAAGTATAATGACTAAAAAAAAGTTCCACTAATCTGCCCCTACCCGTCTGTTCAACGGTCTGTATTTAGCGCTTTTTCTAATCCTAATAAACAATTAAACAACAACTACCTGCTGACAACATGGCTGCCTGGAGACCACTACCCCCCCGAGATAGAAATGTTATCACGATCCCCCTCAACCCACATCCCCTGCGAATTGAAATACTATTGAGAACCTGATAACGTATATTTTTATCTGTACAAACCACTGTACAACTGCAGTTGCTGCCACCTAGTGACTGGAGGCTTTTACAGCAGTGGTACACTTATGCCATATTCCATTGGAAAACCCTTGCGCCCCCACCACCCCCCACCCCCACGCCCAGGGCGTCCCACCCCACTATTTGAGAAGTACTGATATAATGTCTGGTACTGATTTCACGATGCTGCGGTAGGAAGACAACTGTAATACCTACTGAGTTTTTACCAGACATCTATATACACCAATATGTTGGTACGAATACAATTTGAATTGTTTAAAAAATGAGAACATTTGAATGTGGGATCTGACGTTCCATCTTGTGTCTTTAAATGGTTCTAACCCCGCCCCCTTCCACTGAATGATTGGATTGATGGACTACGGCCTTGACCCCATGACCCTGAAAAGGGGCAACATTTTTACAGAATTCCATGTTACAAAAACGTAGTTTCTGTCCAATACAATACTGTACGGAGGGGAGCCTCATCCTGCC